TAAAATAATTGAAATTGCAATAAAAAGTTTTAAATCCAACACAACTTTTAAATTTGTAGAAGATGTTGTTTACTTAGAATGCATAAAAAACATTTTCAAGGCAACATATTTCATAGTTGTTTTATATTTTCAATACAGAAGGTCGTAAAAAATTCATGTGGATTCCCAAATGAAATAGGGTGTGGGTACTGACTGGAAAATTATTTCAAACCCCTGAGATAGATGAATTTACTAATGATATGCAAAATTTTGCATTTCACACTCTAAAACACCATTTTGCCTTCTTACCCATAACAGAATTCAATTAATTAGACTACTGTATTTAACAATTACTATCAACAATATGTTAACCTGCTTAACAAGAACTTTGGGATACAGACTGTAGATAAGAGCTTGTGAATAACTTCATATACATGTAGATTCTTTTGAGTTATATTTCAAGCCCATCATTTGGCAAAACTCATTACACTTGTGGGATTGCATAAAGTTTTTAATACCAATGGATGTACAGTTACCACAGCAAAAGTTCAATTCTCCAGTTTCTTCTGAAGTAATATTTTCAGATGAGATTTCTGGGTCGTACAGGTGATAGCTTGACCCCTGGATATCAGTGAGCATAATTTTACCTTCTGTAAAACTGTGACTAAAATGCACAAGGCATTCAGCTTTTGCATTTAACTCTTTCACTTCATCAGATGCATCGCCAGGAATTTTCACAAGCTCGCCATCATTGTTGATAAGTTTGGCAAATGTTCCAGGTACGAAGTCTTCAATTGTTGCAGCCTTTCCTTCATAGGTAGTGAAAAAGCATTCATTGTAATGAAAACAATTTCCAAATTTTTTAGGGGCCTTGGACTTGAATCGTTGAGTGAGGTGTCTAGCCACAGCATGCATTTGAACATGCTTGCGACAATGGTCCTCCACTGTTGTATTTAATTCTTCTTCGATTATTTTGACTGTCGCTGGCAAGTATGTTTTTACCACCCATTGCTTAGAACTTCTACAGCTTGTTGCATGGAATGCATCTCTAAATGCACCTGAGGCAAACTTTTCAAGATGAACAATGACCTCCTCTTCATGAGCATATAACCACTTTTGTGTTTGGAGATCAAACCTCTCAAGAGACAGACTGACTTTCCTTTTTTGCGTGGGTTTTATAAGGCTACCTGCCTTTAACAATGATGCAATTGAAACAGACGGAGGAAATACACTTTGTCTTGACTGTGATGACGATTTTTCTGTTGAATTATTTATGGATTTGGTTGAAGAAATTTCCTGTTCTTTTCCACTTTCTTCATCTGATTCAATTCCAACATCATTCAGTTCTTTTACCACCACAAATCTTACAAGATAAACCTAAAAAAATGATTTATAGTAACCTCAAGTAATTCATTAAAAGGGATTTTTTGTGAAGCAACAAGCACCAAGACAATAAAGATGCACTTTTCACCACTAAAATAATATTTCTGTGTTTATAACCCACATTGGCCACTATTTAAATTTCAAAAAAGTAAAGTGCTGGCCATTTCATTAGTGGGAGATATGGTCTGTGTGTGATTTTTTTAAGGCCCCAAGTAAGCAGTCAACATTGATTTTGATAACATTAAGTGTGACAAGATTCAACTGGAAATTTGAGTAAACTTGGGTATTTTTTTGAGCGCTGGGTCAGTCCTAGTATCTTAAGGCCATCACGCTCTACTATGCACAAATTTTGACCAGAGAGGAGTGGACATTTCCCGCATGCATTATTTTTCCATAGGCTGCCCAACTATTACTTAAGAGAAGAAAATACACGCCTTTAATTTATTTATGGACGTGCGCTCTTAATGAAATTGGGATCCTGATTTCATGTGGTATTACATCAATATCCCGTGCCTCGCGGGATACAAGCTGGTCTAGAAGATGATCTAAGAATATTTATAGGGCATCATGGCAAAATGGCATACTTAAATAAACACATAGATCGCGTTATGAGCAGTTCTTTTACTACTGGTCAGGCCCATTTCAGTTCATTTACATCGTTCTTTGACCTTTGACCATAGTTAGTAGAGGGAGACAGTCTCCCTCTACTATAAGCTTACTATGTTTTGGTTTATAAAACAACATAAGTTTACCTTGTCTTTCCTGTGTGGTATTTGGAGGATATTGGTGCAAGACGGACCCTTATTTGATACCAATATATCGCACGTTGAGGGTGGAAAATTAAAGTGCTCTCCACATGCTTTTTTCAAGTTAGCAAGAGTGAACTCGTCGTATTCGTAATTGACGAATTCCCTTGGTTGAATGGGCTTATATGTCTGCTTATTATCGGGTTCAGACGCCAAACGCTGGACAATTATCTCGTGTGGTATTGAATGTGAACCTTTGCTGCTTTTCCTTGCTTCGTGGCGAGTTCTTTTCGCGCCAACGTTCTCCCTAAGCCGATTCCACGCTTGCTGTCTTTTCTGCATTTTGGAATAACACAGGGTGGCACTGTAAACTACTACTATCACCATCTCACGATAGCGAGTGCCTCACTATGCGCACGCGCAGAGGGTGCGCGCGCATCGTATTTATGACACTTTTGGCGTTTTGGCGGGAAATGTCAGCTGGCCAAAAACGTTCTCTAGACGCTGCTCACAACACACGAAATACGCCCAGGTTATTACAGCTTTACATAACCACGAATATTATATCGTAATGAAGTTGCGCGTGAAGGACAATGAAAACTCTATTACCTCAGAATTTATGTACGAAACACTTTCTCGCTACTCGGGAGAATCAAGTAAACTTATAGTGACCAGTTGGCAGTCGACGTATGCCAGTCGTTCGCTCGATTGCACCGAGATGGACGAAGAAGTGTACAATCCTCTGGAAGATAGATTTGTCTTGAGCGGAATAACAGTAAATGGCAGATTGTATCTCAAAAGAAACAGCGACATCCCGACTTATTCATTTCCAGCATTCGACGTCATGCCAACTCCACCAGCAATTCTACATGGTCCCGAAGTCTTAAATGGACACGAACACCAAGACTTTTTCATTGGTGTGTTAACGAATGTTCACAACAACATTGGTATGGAGTATCAGTGGTTCAAGGATGGAAGCATTATGTGTAATGGCCCACACTGTTGCCTCATAAAGATCTGCGAACCTGGAGATTATTTCTGCAAAGTGTTGTATAAAGATGTGATACTCCAATCGCATCCGGTCAGTGTTGTCGATATCAGTCAAAGGTCAGTACCCGCAGTCTTTAAATTTTGCGCTATCAAACATTTAATAGCTCTGACAATAAATCCAAGTATTGTCACTGGTTGAGTCTGTCTTTTGAGTCAGTTTTAGCGGTGAAATGAACAGAATCCAGGGGTGAGATGAAATTCTCGGACCTTGTCTCATTGTTTCGTATTACATAAATAAAACGACATATGTAAATGTGCTTGTCATCGCGAGTTATTATTGTTATTGGTCGTAATGTGTTTTATGTTTTTGAAAAAATTTTTAGTAAGTTTTTGGTACCGTCGACATAGTACCCTCGATGCTCGGCCAAAATACAGACTCTCACTGGTTTAGTGGTTTAATGGTGTGGCCTTCAACAAAAGGAGGTCATGGCTGATTAGTATCTCATTATATCGGTTTTTATTGTTGATCCAGGGGCTGCATATTCTCATATTTCATATTTTCGACAAAAATATAGAACAAATAATAAACAACAAAACGGTTGTTGACTTTGACCATATGCATCCCGAAGGTCTAATGGTACTCTTACTTACATTTCTTTCCATACAAGGAAATGTTCACAACGGCAGCCTTTGGATTGCCAGACATTCAGTATAAAATGATACTCTTATTATTGTTGTTTCGGATTTACTTGTAATTTTGTTATTATCATATAATTATCCAGTGCTTTATTTTTATTGCATTTGAAATTGGTTGAAATTTTTTTAAACTGAAATTTCCTTTTTCTCTTGTAATTGAATATAGAAAAAGAACAAGTGAGTCATGCAGTGGAGCCACAGGAATCTATCCACCATCAGTATGTCTGAGTCATTTGCTGAAAGATGGGAAGTTATCAGTACCAAACAAAAAGAAAAAGTGACAATGGCCTAACATTCTTTTTACTGGTACACATCAATGACCAGAGCAATGGTTTCTGCTTTTCTACATGTATATGAAATTATTCACAAGCTCTTATCTACAGTCTGTATCCCAAAGTTCTTGTTAAGCAGGTTAACATATTGTTGATAGTAATTGTTAAATACAGTAGTCTAATTAATTGAATTCTGTTATGGGTAAGAAGGCAAAATGGTGTTTTAGAGTGTGAAATGCAAAATTTTGCATATCATTAGTAAATTCATCTATCTCAGGGGTTTGAAATAATTTTCCAGTCAGTACCCACACCCTATTTCATTTGGGAATCCACATGAATTTTTTACGACCTTCTGTATTGAAAATATAAAACAACTATGAAATATGTTGCCTTGAAAATGTTTTTTATGCATTCTAAGTAAACAACATCTTCTACAAATTTAAAAGTTGTGTTGGATTTAAAACTTTTTATTGCAATTTCAATTATTTTATATAAAACTATGTATGTGTTATTGAATGAAGCAGTTATGACATCAGTATTACATGTAATAATCCTGTATAGTTGCACAGTTTAAGTGCGGTTATAACTATTAACTCTAGGTACATATATAGTACAAATATTTTTTCAAATTTCAAGGTTATGTCAGATAATTCCTTGTAACATAAGACTTTATACTGATTTTGTTTTTACTTAAAAATATTAAAAATTGAAAAAAAAAAATGTAATAATCCTTAAAATGATGTTTTTACTGACATGTTATATGAAAATGAAAAGAGTGCAAATAAAGATGATGTGAACAAAGCCAAGTTTTCTCTTATTGACTTGGGATTTTATGTAAAACTTTCTAAAATGCATTGAAAAAAAGCACCTGTCAAGAGGGGACTACAAAATGGGACTTGAGGAAAATATATGATAATGCACCATCTCTTGGCTGAACTTCTTCTATGTGGGGAATGATTCTCTCACATTCAGCTCTGATAGCCGGTGACAAAAAGTCATCTCCAACAGTTGTAACTTTTGAGAGGTCAGCAACTTCATCAAGTAGCTGTTTATTAACTGGAAAACCTGGCAATAAATAACACATTTGATTTTGCTTTAATAAGTAAAAACAATAAAAAAGTCTGATGTTTTTGATCAATGCCATACCACTCTGCTCTGCATCATAGTTTTCTGGAAATGCATATAGGTGATTTGGAACTCCTTTTGGGACTTGAGCACCTTTTTGGCTCCTCACACGGTGTGAATTCCAAATAGTATCGCGAAATACATCCATCTCTTTTTGAATCAGAGGGATAAAGACATAAGCCAACATGTCCCTAAAAAGAAAATATTGATTCTCCTTTAAAACGTTTAATTAAAAACGTATATTTTACAAAAACTGTTAAATTACAAAATGTT